TTATGTTAGCTGTGATAGTGACATACACAAGGAGTTGTTTTTTTTTTCTACAAAAGGTCACAGCACAGTCAACCCATCCAAAACTGAAAAGACTTCCAAGAGAGAACTGGGAATCTGAAGCTGACATCAGTAGCAGTTTCCCTCTTTTCCTCTCCTTTTGGAAACACCAAGCAACATGCGACATGGTAGCACTGTGAACTGCACCCTGCTGGTGAACGGAGTACAAAAAGGAGAATAATTAGTGGTCAGTGGTGGTGCGGGGGAAAGCAGCAGTAAATGTAGCCTGTCTGCAAATGTGAGGCCTTTAAGTGTGCTGGGGAAAAGAGGGTGACACAAGTTCGAGTGAACAATACTCACTGATCCATTCAAATGATTGTGCTCACTGGACCTGACAGTCAGATCACCCACTCATAGACAGTGAATCAGAAACCTCCTCATAAAACAGAACTGCTCTTCCTGTCTCCACAGGGAGCAACACAATAACCCAAGATAACCCCAGCAAGCTGAGAGAGGCCTACTCATAGACAGGCAGGGGCATGAAGGGGAAAAACACAGCACATAGGGATAATCCTTTACTATGATTTTACATTCCATTGCTAATCATCTAAAAATACTGACATACTGATATTATGGAGTGCTTTCACGTAATTAAAATCAGTAAAAATTGTCAGAATGTTGAAATAAGAAGTGCAACAAAGTCAGTAACTCGAAGAAAAAGAAGCAAATCAACGTATGTCATCTGTTTTGTATTCCTGTCACTCATAAATACTGCGTGTTACATTTAATATGTATGTAGGAAATCAGCTGTGCTTACGTCGAGTTAATGTCAAACGGGATGGAATGGTACAGAAAGTTTCCCATGTTAACAAATTTGCGAGTGTTCACAACATCGAGACGGTCGATCAGAGCGAGAAGATTAAAATACAATGACACTATATCAGCTAAATTTGAGTTGAATTAGATTTAACTTCTCTGGCACTAGAAGGAAAGTCAGAGGATTGTAGAAGTCATTAGGCCTCATCCTCTAGTGGCCGAGGATTTCTATGCAGGCTTAATGGTAACATAACCAACAGTAATCAGATATTTAATTCCCATCCAACATTGCCATCCCTAAAGCCATCTCACTAGCAAGGCTGGAAAGTATAAAAAGTGACTGATCGCAAATAACTCAGATCGGCCACTAATCAGAAGGTTAGCGGTTCGATCCCCGACTCCTCCCTCTGGATGTAGAAGTGTCCTTGGGTAAAATACTGAATCCAAAATTGCTCCCAATCCTGTGCCATTGGTGTGTGTGTGGTTTCTGTGAGCAGCTGGCACTTCCAATGGCAGCTTCTGCCATCAGTGTACAAATATGTGTGAATGTGACATGTAGTTTAAAGCACTAAAGGGAGCTATATGTGCATTATAAGTGCAGTCCATTTAATTTAACTGTTACTGCAATACAAAGACGAACATCCAAGTATCTCACTTGTATTGCTGTTAGCCAGTCATGAATACTGTCTTTTATTATGTATGTAGAAAATATGAAAAAGCTATAACTTTATAATAGCGTCAGCAATTAGAGCCCCTCATAATCCTAACAGGGCAGCTGTAACCACCAAATCTTAACATGCACTAAAAGTATTTATACCAGGTATTTGCTTTATCCATCTGACCCTGTTAACCCTCCCAAGTGGATCTGTATGGACCACATCATCGCATATGGACTCGGGTTTTCGCCACTGATAGTGAGATTTCACTACAATAAAGCCTGCTGGTCAGCCAGCTGTTGACAAATCCCCAGTATGGCTCAGTCTTGGCTGATGCTACGCCAAGCTGGCACACAAACACACATATATAAGTGATCCTGTAGAATTATACATCCTGTTTAAGTATGCTGGTTTTCAATAGGACACAGAAACATCAGTGAATTAACTGTGTTGTTTCAACCATAAACTAGCAATAATTACCATAAATAACGAAAGGCACAATTAGCAAATAAAAATTTAGGATTTTAATTTCAACTAAAATTATGCAACCCACTTTATAACATAATATATGAGTGGGTGATGGTTTCACAGAAGAGATTTATAGTCCTTTTTTTACGTGTTGAGATTAAAAATCCTTCATGGCAGATCAGCATGTGGAAGCGTAGAGGGGGGCATGTATGGGGATACAACTATTTCAAAATACTTTTTCATTCTGTGTGAAGCAGAAACTAAACTGTACAGATATATTTCAGTACAGAAAAAGTAAATCAATCATCTACTCGATCAACAGAAAATGAATCAACAACAGCATGTATGGTTTGAATCCAGCAAAAATTGATTCCATTTTCTCAAGTTACAGCTTTGAAATGTGAGTATTTGCAGCTTTTCTGTGATTTATCTAATAGTAAATTGAATGTATTTTGGTTTTGGACTGTTGGTCAGACAAAGAAAGCAATCTAACGACATCACTTTGAGCTCTGGGAAAGTGTGCTGGTAATTGTTTCACTATTTCTTTTTACATTTTATGTTTCAAAGGATCGATCTGAATAGGAAAATGAGCCAACAAATGCAGCACTAATCTCTCTCTTGACAAGCATTTGCACATCTACATAGGGTTCCCAGCAGAACGGCTAAAGTAGAAACATTAGATGCAAAGAGACGAGAGGAGTTTATGCACACAGTGTTCTACTGAATGCCTAACATCATCGATTAAAAAATTAAGCTCGAGGAAATAAGCACTCTATCCTAACAGCCTAGCAACAGCACTGAGGTAATAGGACTTAATGTGAAGACAAAAATTTTTTTATGAATTTGGGGCACTAAACTGCTGTGTCACACGCTGAGTAGTTAGGATTGCCTGGAGGACTAAACTGTGACCTCTACAGTTATGAGACAGCCTCACTAACCACCAGACTTCCCAGATACTTTATGTGGGACTAAACGAATACATGAGAAAGTGATTGTGACTCTGTGCTGTTAGACAATGATTAGAACAATATTTTGTCCCAATTTCTGAGTTGCTTCCTGTTAAAGGTAAACTATGTGACTGTTAGGGGTGGGTATTGTCAAGGACTTCACGATACAATATGCATCACGATACATGGGTCACGATACGATTATATCACGATACATTGCGATACAATGTATATTGCGATATATTGCGATATTCCACATAGTTAACTGAGAATGTAAAAACAAATATATTATATTGATAATTCAGCTGACAAATTGAGTCAAAACAATGTAATTCAAAATGTCCTTTTTCAATTTATTTATATTTGGCAAATTACCAAACACACAGATCTAGCTGCCATTACATCAAAATGAAAATGATGTGCACTCTTGCACTTTAACTGGACGCACTGATATTGAAAACAAGAAAATGAAGTGCACAGTGAACTCACTGAGGATAGTGTGGGGATAGTAGAGGACTGAGCTGAAATGTACACATAAAAATAAAGTGCATATGCACAAGTACTCCTTATTGTCACTCAACACAAGCGTAGTTTGCCTCGCGTCGACAGGTTTTGGTTGCTGCGGTAACACCATTGTATTTCGAAGGCGCTGCTCTAATACCGTCAGTAGACATGCTGCTTCCATTTCTCACTCTGCCAGAAACTGCGCCCGCCAATTCGAGGCAACCAGAGTCGTACTGCGACATCTACAGGAGCGGAGGTTGTAGTTCACATCACAACCTGTTTAAAACATGATTTCCCCCCCCCTTTAAAATATCGATTTTTGGAGCTGGAAATCGATGTGGTATATCATGTAAATAAATATCACGATATATTGCCTTATCGATTTTTTAGCACAGCCCTAGTGACTGTTATGTGTATTGCAGGTATCATATTACCCTGAAGGTGGTTACTGCATTTTTCCAGCATGCAAATTAAGAAACTCCTTTCTTCCACGTCCTCTTTGTTGCCATTAGCCAAAATATTTCACCAAGTCTGCATTTTCTCATGTTTTGCCATTTGTTTTTGCAGCTGTACTCCCACACCAACAGCACAGTCTGTAGAAGCAAAGTAACAACTTAGCTTTTCATGAGTCAAGCTGCTGCACTAAACGCTGTTTATGATCTGGCCTTTTAAAATACACACACAGCTGATTTATTACAACCTTGGCCAGAGGATGCAGGAAGCCAAATGGATCCTGTACGCCCCAAACATAAGATGTGATATCAATAATACAACAGATGATCTTAGGCCTGATTGCAATACTGGTCTCAATTGTCAAGAAGAAGGAGGATGACTTTTAGTGCAAACACTGAATGAGCAAATACTCCAAACCTGCTAATCTCAAACTTATTGTGTGTTCAACGGAAAAAAACATCTGAAAGGACTCGGTCAGGTTTTACCAGCTTTTACTGACATGAACCAAAAAAAAGCAAAGGAGAAAGGAATCATTCAGACTATGCACACAGCAATGAAACAGGTGGCTATTTGTGAATGCTTTCCTTCTTTGCCTCATATTTAAAGAGCCAATACAATATGTTGTTGCTATCTGAAATATAACCTAGTTTTACGGGTGCAGTTTGATCTCATAATAGAAAAAAGGCACTACAGTATGAGCTCCTATCTTACAGTGAGTCTGCACCAATAAGCTCACACAGTGACCTTATTGTTGCCTACTTTATGGTATTTCCTCCCCCCCCCATCTACTACCATCACAGTCATAAAATGATTCTTATATAACTATAAAGGCTAGATTACAGCGTCCTTATCTGTTTAGCAGAAGTATGTTTATGTCCTATGGTCTTGGCCTCCCCCATTGAAAACTGTGATACTAATGCTATCACTGAAGGAAATGGGGGGAAAGGGCCATCTGATCTACGGCTATATTGAATTTAATATCCACATGAAACCTGCCATAACAATAATAATAATAATAATAATAACAACAACAACAACAACAACAACATAAGCGGCTGGTCATGTTTACGCCTCGGTGAGTGATGGTCCAGGAAGGACGCGCTCACTTTCCCAAAGGATGCTGTGTGCAAGAAAAGATGGACGCATACAGGTTACTCACTCTGCGTAGCCGGTGGACCACGGCAGCCGCTTGGTCTCCTTCAGGATGAGGATCGGTCTCGCAATGTGATCCGCCGAGCACTCTATCTCGTCCGGCGACAGCCCCAGGAACTCCGGTCTGCTGTACGGGTATTTCAGCGGCATATCGGAGCCGCCGGGATGGTCCCCGTTGGAGCCACCAGCCATCATACCTCCCATAAAATTGGCCACCGCCGATTTCACCCGCGTGAGCATGGTGGTCATGCAGCAGCGTGGGTCCAGGCGATGCGATTACGTGAGAGTTTCCCCCCCCGCCCGACAGATCCCTGCACGGAGACGCAGTTTCGCGGCGTGAAAGACAGACACACCGCGGCCGTGAAGACTCATTCAGCTCAGCTCTCCCCCTCGGTGAACGCGGAAATAAAAACCACACACACACACACACACACACACACACACACACACACACACACAGGCAGGCAGGCAGCGCTGCACGCTAGTCATGTGACAAACCGGTTGCTGCTGGTGGATTTGGTCTCACTGGCATCTCAGTGAGCAGATTACGGTTGACAGTGCTGGAGGTCAAAGGTGCGTAATCCCGGTGTGACGAGCACTTCCTGGCCGAGGTGCAGGCTGGGGTGCTGTCATCGGTAAGGTTGACCCATGCCCTGACAAGTGTGCCCCCTTCCACATTAAAGCACACACACATATAACACAGATATGAGCACGTTCTCACCCATTCATTGCAGTTTATAGAAGGTAATTTATCTTTAACTGGACTTTTGTTTCACTTCCTGATTATTTTGAGTCCCACAATCCCCCACTGCTGCAGCCTGTGTGTAAGTAGGTTGGTTTCCTTTGAGTAGCCTATATTCTCTTTGCCACAAGCTGATGGATGTGACACAATGTGGAAATGTCTCATGATTTACATGTTGTATGTGCTGCACATGGACAAATATATATTTCATGTATCCTGCAGAGGGCTGTTGCTTATGTTTGGGGGTCTACCCAGAGAGGGTTAAATCCCTGTCAGCTGTTGTAATACTCCAATGGATAACTTCAAACAGAAAAATAGAATTATTTGGGATTTGGGAGGGATAGCATCAAATATACTGTCAGCATCAATCATGGATATCATACAAATCTCCATTGTATTCAGCCATGTTTTACATCTGTACAAACAGAATGCATCATTTTCTGGAGCAGACTTCAGAACATATTATCAGCAGTTCAGTCATCTGGTTTATAAGCTATTCTCATAAAATTGAGAAGTATTAAGCTACAACAACACTGAGTATGTTTCTTTGTTTTTTGAGCTGGATGGTCCAGTCCATCCGCCAAACAGAAGGATCAAACCAAAACACAAATTATCTCCCTATAACAGCTGGATATAATCCTAATTCTGTCACAACACCTGATCACTCTACCTGTCAGAGAATGAAACAATACCTAAAAGGATAAAACAGGAAAAGAGCTCACACTCAAACAAGCTCTCTCCCTCTATCTTTTCTCAATTCTATATGTGTAACCTGAGTCAGATTAATAATAATGATAATAATAATTAGAATATTTATTCGAAGACAAGTTTAAAAAAACAACAAGTGATGCAGTAGGCTACTTGATAAGAGGCATGATTAAAGCAAATAAGGATAACATCAGATGGACAAATTACAGAGAAAAACTGAAATAATTAAAATGGCAAAGCATCAAAGAGAAAGAATATTCAAGTATGTTTTCAGTCAATCAGACATGATAGTGATTGTTGTGGCCTCACTTCCTCAAACGGAGTTCACCGCATAGTTTCAAACTGACTGACTGGGCTTAAACTACAGGAGCAATTCAGACTCTGTAATTAATTCAGCACACAGAAATCTGCCCTGTAATTCATTTGAAACTAGTGATATTACTGCAAATATGACACACGCCAGTTTCATTGAATATCACATGTCACTGTCTGTTGTTAAACTTCGGTATCCGTGTTGTTTCAAATTCTTTTTTTTCAGTTTGTTCTGGCCTGTGAGTCAGTTTAAATCTGATTGGCTGGGCTTTCAGCCAACCCAGCAGGATGTGTGTCTAGACATCATGAACTTACGGACACACTTAGAGCTGCATTTTGGAGAAGTAAACCCTACAGAATGACCTGTTATACAATACCACAGTCTGTAGACCAGCCAACCCACAGAACAGACGCACAGGCTTCTTTCTATACACGGACCGGCAGTGAGAATGAATGTAAAACAAACAACAAAAACAGATGGAAGAAGACTGTCTCAAATTGGCACTGTTAGACTCAGCTGGGAATTGATTCAAATCAATTTAGTCCAAAGGTTCACTGGAAAATGTTGCCATTTGGACAGAGTCTGCTTCTATCAACAACCCTTGAGTCAAATTTTGCTTGAGTCCACTGAGAGTTGGCAGACGTCTGATCTGCCTCCAAATAGAAGTGGACATGTTTTGCATCATAATCACAAACATAACTCATTTAAGACATTATTTATATCTCTTATGATTGTGTTTGACATGCTCTTACATTCATATTCTCTGCTCTTTAGTGTGCACTTGAGTCACGTGCCTTCCAGTAATTCTCCAGTTATGTGAGAATAACTTCTTTGATTTAAGTCAAGTCAAGCCAGATTAACCTGTTTGGTTGCTCCAGGTCCAAACCCACTGCCTGCTTCATTATACACCCAGACACCAGTATACTCAAATAATACTACATGGTCATTTGGATGAACCAACATTTATGTAGTAAAATGGACTGTATAAGCACTGAAAAACTATAACAATAATGGTGTTAGAATAAAAATTTGACACATGGCCCCAATACAAGTCATTAGATTACTATTATAAAATAACCCAATCAGATTTATTTGTCATATGCAAAATACATTTCACCAATTTAAAACACATTATGAATATTATATTTCATTACTACCAGTATATCCTCCTAAATGTTACACACTGGACCTTTAAGGATTGGGAAATGTTAGGAATCTTTATTAAATATTGAAAAACACTGACATGAACCATCAGATAGGATAGCACTGAGAAATAGTTTTTTCACTTATTTCACTAGTTTTATGTACTACATTCTCAGACACAGCTTGACACCTTGTGACCTTAGACCAATACATTTCTGTCTTCAACATGAACTTTCACCTATCAATTTGGTTACATTTCACATGTGAAATAACATTCTATACATCAAATGTAAACTTTAACATGTGAAACTTTTGAAAAACACATATGCTGATACAGTATATTGAGTTTATAGTATATGAAATGCAATTTTATTTTATTTAATTTTTTTACATTTCACGTGTGAAATATTTAAAAAAAAAACCTAGTGTGCTTCTATTATGTGAATTTATCACAAGTGATGTCCTAAACTTAATTTTCCAACATTTTTCTGAATTTCTATTCACCAACGCACAGTAACATTATTTTCAATCGTTAAAAGTTTACATGCCCATTAAAAACTGTGAGCTCACTCATTATACAGAGACTCTCCAGAGAAAATGAATGAACTCCAGTGAAAGTGTGGAGTTGCCAAATTGGCAGACTACAGTATAAAACAAATCAATAATTCATGAGTATGCCAGGAAAGAGCTCTACTGACCTAATTACACTCAACATGTCTGTCAGCTGGGAGATGATATACTTTAGGCAGGATATACATTCATAGTTAGTAACCAGTAACCATAGCACTGAATGGGACCCTGGTCCAGTAAACTGATACATCTGCAGGGTTAAACTCTTTTTTTCACATATATTCTGGTGAGGTGGCAAACTATGTACATATATTAACAATGAATAAATGTTAACAAATAATCACAGGTGCCTGTATTAGTATTAATATCAAAATACACCTGAAGCAGGAATTCAGTCATTAATCTGAGACATTTTGACCTGTTGGTGCCACAAGGTGGAAAGTCAGGATATCAGCAATTCATACTTATACACTGTTTGGCCAAAAGTATGAGGACAGGAGTGTACTTTTTGAAATGGTTTTTCCAGTTTGATGTGGAAGAACATGAGTGGCATGAGCATGGGACACCTTTTATTGAACCAATCAGTATCAAAGTCTTGTGTAAAACTCTCCCAGAAAATAAAGGCTGTTATAGCAGCCCAATACACATGTTTCTGAGATAAGATGTTCATTGATCACATGTGGGTGTAAAGCTTTGGTGTTGACAAACTTTGTTTGGTGTCTACATAATTTTGTCCATGTACTGTACTTTTGCTGGACGGACAGGCGGAGCAGCCAACTGACGCTGCCATCCACAGAGCCATGCCAGTACGAAGGCTAAAAATGACATCAGATGACCCCCAAAATGAATTGTTTTGTAAGACATCTCTGTAAATGGAAACCAAAGGGTCACATTTCCTTTTAGATATGCATTATGTAATAAATACCTGAAGAAGTCATCTGAAGTTCCCGAAATATGTTACTGCATCACGATCAAATGTCACTGAAAGCCCTCAGACTGCAACAGGCTTTCATTAAAGTTTCCAGCTCACTCTCTGTGCAGCTCATCAGAATTTACATTATGAACCAATAATTTCACAATAAGAGTGCATATTAAAATCTTCTAGGATATGAATTAAATGCAACATTATCACAGGCATTAGTCCTGGAGCGAGGAACAAATAATGTGAGGGAGTGAGTTGGACGCAATGATCTGTTAGGAACAGAAACTGAGAGGAAGTGATTGGAGTGATCTAAAAGCAATGAGAAGCACCTCAGAATCACTTCAGCTTCTGAACAGATGAGGGCATAGAAAAAAATTGTCATAGTTGTTCTGTAACATAAATGGTGGAGACATGGCAATGTACTGTAAGTAGTAGAAGGTCCCTTGAAATTCAAAATTAAAAGGTATCAAAGGCAAACTTTTTTAAATATGCACAAATTACTAATTTAGATTTTTATCAGCAACTTTGGTTCAACTTTAACCTTTGTTGTGGCTTCAGAGTGTGACGAATAGTCCACTAAACTGGATCAGCAGGATACATGCAGCTGTAACGGACACCTTTCTTTTTCTTTTCCTGTGTTGGACTTGCAGTATATCATCATGAGTTGAGGCCTTTCCCCTTGCCAGATTACATCATTTTGCAGTGTTGGTCAAGAATTGAATGTACCTGGCTGCTATGACGACCCAATTTCCCTCTGGGGATTAATAAAGTCTATCTATCTATCTATCTATCTATCTATCTATCTATCTATCTATCTATCTATCTATCTATCTATCTATCTATCTATCTATCTATCTATCTAGAATGCAGACAACTATCTACTGCAATTCTACTGAATGCTACTGTGAGCTGTTTCTATTATTGTGTCCACTCCATGTACATCATCTTCCTCCAGCTCTGTCTCTGTCTTATTCATCAAAGGATTATGACGGTGATGGCTTGAAGATTGTCTTTGTCATACCAGCCAATGTGTGTGTGTGTGTGTGTGTGTGTGTGTGTGTGTGTGTGTGTGTGTGTGTGTGTGTGTGTGTGTGGGTGCGTGCGTGCGTGTTTGTGTGTGTAATCGGCCTGCTAGTCCAACTGATGACTGACTCACTAATTGACACAGGCAGCTGCCCACACACACCCGTACCAGAGGATAATCTGGAGGTAAACCTGAGTTTGAGTATG